AAATGTCACCAGATTTTAACCTAGATTCGACATCAAACTTCAAAACATGAAATCCATTCACTAGATAACTGGAAAGGGTAAATCAGGGACAACATGCTAACTCATTGTTGTTGTGCCCTAACATTAATTAAGTGCAAGAGATGAGATTATAATAGTACAACGACAATAGAGAGGAGTTACCTTTTATGAAAGAACTAGTAAATAATATTTCAAATCTGGTTAGTTATTTCAATTTGTTTTTAGTATAATATTGGAAATAACAATGATGGTAGGTGCGAGCTACAGTGACGATGTAAACTATCACAACACATGAACTTACGGAGTTTCGACTTCGGAGGAGAAGCATAAACAGAGCAACGAGGAGGTGATACAAAAGGGTTTTTTTTACAGAAGTCTATGTACCTCATTTGAATTGTAGAACAAAGGTAAAACTGTCGTCTTTTAACTTGTCCCACTTTGTTCAAGGGTTTTGGGCGGGACAAAAATATTCACTTTTTTCCAAGTTTATGACGTGCCAAGCATGAGACATGGCTTTTTATTATGTAATGTTTTTGTTCAATACTGTAAATCAAATGTACCCATACTGATCAATTTCAAAACAATAACATCAGTTGTAACTAAGAAGAAACCCAAACTCTCAGTATAGCTTCTACAACATTGTTCAAAAAGTTGAGGAACCAGAATACCAGATTATCTTATCAGTAACGAAAACAAGAATATAATAACAGTACGGAATGTATACAATATAAATATTATCTAAAAGTCATCATATTTGATTAGTTTTCTATATAATTTGAACTTTCCCTGTTACCATGATGTTTTCCCAATCCTTTTCCAAAGATGTGATGATTGATTTACAAAAGTGTAAAAGATTTGGGGGCATAATAATGTCATATGATCTAGCATGTCACTTTACACCAATTTAACAAAGGGGGTTAATTCTTTATAAAATATTAATTATTAATTAATAAAATTTTAAATACCCTTTAATACTGAAAACTAGTAATTTTATAGAGACGGACCCAAAATCTTTTTTAAACTACATCACCAAATAATTGACAATATAAAATAAAATAAGTATTACGTGTAAAGACTATCAGGTTTCATTGAAAATGATGTATAACGGGGTTTTTTTTTAATTAACTTGGATATCCAACCTGCTATGCGAGCCGACTAATCCCAGGTCGACCACCTGCTTTGCAGATAGCCTGGAGTCACCGCATTTGAACCTCCGTGGCCACAAAGAGATTTTTATTCCTCCTTGGATTTGAACTTGGGACCTCCTGGTACTTTTGAGCTTTGGATCCAAGCTCAAACCAATCAGACACCACCCTTGTGGTTGTATAACGAGTTTTTTGCGGCATACAGAAGTGGTTTTTCTTCCTTTTGTTGCTATTACCAAAAGATTTTGAACTTACAGCCTATAAAACCACATGTAATGACAATATCAATAGGCCACTTTATGTTAATTAAAGGGAGCGCACATCAATTTAAGGTAGGTGTAGCTTTAAGGCCTATAATTTTTTATATTTATGTGTGTCAATTAAACGGTAGGAGTCCTTGTACGTCAGACCACTCTTGCAATCTTATAAACCCGGATCAATAACATCAATTCTCATAACATGATAATAATGACAATTAGTTAACTGGTCCAAAAAGAAGTAACGTTATTATAAAGTTGGTAACATGAGAAAAAGAACTATACCATGCATGCATCTTGCAACATTACATGCATGCAATATTATAGTTTAAGGTTAAATCAGAAATTTTACAGTTTTAACTCAACAAATATATATTTAACTTAATGCATAGAATTTTATCAAATATTGTTGATCCGGTCAATTAGTTAACCCTAACTTAAAAGGGAACTTTTATAGCAAGTTCAAAAGAAAATGTGGTCAATAAGTTTTATCGGTTTTTCAATCATGTGCCCTGAGGGCATATAATAAGGATAATTAAGGGTCGTTTGTTAACGATTTAATGAGCTTAATGAAACTCACAACTTATTCAGTCAACTATACTTGACTATTTGGTAGTGGTTTAATAACATAGAAAATGATTTATTCAGTAAGATTCTAGAGAGAGATTTATCCAAAAGGTCAAGTTTTTTTTTCTCTAAATCTATTGCTCCTAATTAAAAAATACGATTTTTCACCTATGAAAATCACTTCGAAAAAAAAAATTCTCAATCTATATAGACATATTAAGCTACACAGACAACTTTATCCATACAAGACTTAATGAAGGACCAACCAAACAACCCCTTAATATGTAAGAGCATCTCCAACAAATTCATCAAATAAATTCAAAATGTAGAATCAAAACTCAAAATTTACAGAAATAAATTACATTCAACTACAAAAGATTTTTTTAATTATAACATTAATTATATTATTATATTACATATATATAATAAAATTTTATTTTCTTTCATAAACATTTAATATTAAGGTCTCTTATTGGTGGAAATACAATAAAAAATTGTTTCTCTCTCATGGTAATCACTTTTGAAGAGTTATCCAAATTTGGAGAACTTCACACACTCTCCGATGTTTTCTCTATTTTGGAAAAAAAATTTAAATTTTATCAACATATTTATTTTTTCCTTTTAAAAGAACCTAAATTTGCCCAAAATTTTTATTTACGTTTAAAAAAGTTGTTAGAGATGCTCAAAATAATATTTCATCATGAATTGTATTTCCAAATCTTGTCCAATCTTTTTAATAACTAGTATAGTATGCGCGTGATGTTGCATCTCGATTTAAAGTCGAGAATTTAAAACGACAATCATGTTTCATTTTTGTCTTTTTTTTTCCCATCCCGAAACTAGTTGTATACCCGCACAATATAGCCGAGTGTAAATTTTGAATAGATGTAAGCAAGAATACCTGATACAAATCGGTTTTTACCAAATAAAACATATATGTGGATCCATTTCACATTTTTTATGTAGAATATATATGTGAGAAAGAATAAAAACCAAATCAGTGTTAAAGTTGTGAAAAATATATTTCCTTGTGTGAAAATGATGGTAGTTGATGCTGCTGTAGGGATCTTCCTCATAGTCACCAGTTCTAATTTTTCCAGGACACTTGAGACTGGTCAAGGTGCAAGCAAGTTGGCCTAGACACCAATGGTTAAAAGAAACAGTGACTAATGTTAAATTTTTTTAACTGCAAATAGAATACAAGTTGAGAATTTTATTCTTGGTTGCTATTATGATTTAGAAGCTGAAGTTTGTGATTCATCGGTAGAGGATTTCTTTTCAATGACTTTCTCAAATGCTAGCATTGCATCAAAGGACGAGAATATTGCCAAAAATGTTTCTCAATAAATCATATTTATGGTAAATACTTAAATAAATGTTTATTGATATTAAACATGACAATATTATTTTTTTTTCTATAAAATAGGAATCAACTCATAAAGTATTTTTCCACAAAAAAGACTACTTATACAGCTTTCTTAGAAAAAGAAAACTAAAACAACAGTTGCACAATAGTTAAAAAGATAAATTTACAGTAGGCATGTAAGTTTACATGGTGCTCTTGACCCAAGCCTCTTCGGCCGAGTCGACTACAAGTTTAAGTTTCCCTTCTTTCACCAAACCAACAAGATAATCCACGTTCTTGGCTTTCGTTCAAAATAATCAAATTTTTGAGCAGGTACAATTCTTCATGATAGCAATAAAAAATGTTTTGTAACCATTGCTTTTTTCAACCACTGAAAATCGACATCAACTGTTTTTTCAAGCAGGACTTTTGCAATAGATGACAAATTCTGTAAGCTGAAATTTGAATATATATGCAATATTCAGGTATAGCATTATCGGTCTTTAGACTTTGCAATATGGTCTACTGGTCTATCATTTTCAAAAATTAAGAGGTAAAGGAAGGGGGTAAAATGGTCATTTACATCATTCAGACAAAATATTTTGTCCAACAAATGAACACCAGTTTAGCTTAATTTAGACAGATAGATTAATTCCTTAAGGCTAAGAAGTCAACTAGCGGTCTAGGAAGGCTAAGAAGGCAACTAGTTGCTTAGCCAACGACAGTAGATGTACAACTTAATCCATACAGAGTTTAACGAAAAATCAACCAAACAACCCCTTAGTAAGATATAAGAATCTTGCCTTGGATTTGATCATCTTGAGTCACAGATTGATCAATCCCCTTGTGCAATTTAGGGCTTTTTTTTAGCATGGTGGGTAATTCTCACAGCTGCTTGAATCGAATATGTTAATATGGAAGATCGATTTGCCCATATTTTTGAAGATCTATAAGTGTCCATAGCTATTTAGGTAGTGTTGTGCGAAATCTGGCAAACCATTCTAGAGTCAGAGTTTTTTGTCGCTAGAGATCATCCAACTTGTGAGTCCTGTAGATAGAGATTTAGGGACCGTTAACTAAACGCTTACCCGGTAGGTGCTTACCAGCCAATTTTCCTCACTGGATGAACATGCAAGATCCAAGAATCTTACCTTGTAAGAGCGATGATAAGGATAGAGAGTCTTACCCGGTAAGTGAGGGTGATGACTCTTACCCGGGTAAGCGCTTACCATATATATTATTGCACACGATACCATTTAGATATACTACAATCTTACCTAGAAAATAAATTATAGTATTGACTCCTAACTATAAGCACTTACCGGGTAAGCATTTAGGTAAGCAGCCCCTTAGTCAAGAATATGATAAACACAAAGAAAATATCTACAGGAATGATATTCAATCGAAGTAGTCATCATGTATATTGAATATCAAGAACTGTTAACAAAATAATCTGAAATGAAATCTATACAATTTGTATCTTAAAAAGTTACAACAAAGTTTAACAGACACTTTTTATACTAGAATAGAAATGCTAAAGATACATGGTTTACATGACAAACTAATTACATGGAAACACGTGTTCCAGTATCCAGTAAGAACTCTTCGTTTCTGAGAAGTCCTCGATCTGGAAATCTTCTAAGTATAATATTGTATTGAACATTCAGAGTTATTCTTCTAACTCTGAACTCCAAAGCTTCGAAACACTTGGTCGCAATTGCTCTTCTATCGAACTTTGGAATCTTAACTCCAGAACTCTGAAGACAACTTTTTCAGAGTTAGCACTTAGTCAAATTATTCTTCTTTAAGATATCATTGATATACTTAATTTGATTTATGAATATTCCTTTGGGTGTTTGCTTAATCTAAAGTCCCAAAAAGAAATTCAGTTCACCCATCGTACTCATTTCAATCTTGATTTGCATTATGTCTGAAAAGTTCTTACAAAATTTTGGATTAATAGAACCAAAAATTATGTCATCTACATAAATTTGTATCAAGATTATATGCTCACCTTGCTTCTTAAAAAATAAACTAGTATCTATTGTACATTTCTTGAAGCCATACTTTAAAAGGAAGTCAATCAGAGTTTGCAATCATGCTCTCGGAGTCAGTTTAAGCCCATAGAAGGCTTTGTTCAAGACATAGACATGATTTAGATATTTAGGATCTTCAAAACCTTCAGATTGTTGAACATAAACTTCTTCATGTTACACACCATTCAGAAATGCACTTTTGACATCTATTGGATAGACTTTGAAGTTCTTGTAAGCAACATAGGCTAAGAAAATTCTTATATCCTGTAAGAAGTCTTCGTTTCTGAGAAGTCCTGATCTAGAAATCTTTCGAGTATAATTTTGTATCGAACATTCAGAGTTAATCTTCTAACTCTGAACTCCAAATCTTCAGACTTAATACTCGGTCGCATTTGTTCTTCTATCGAACTCTAGAATCTTAACTCCATCACTCAAAAGACAACTCTTTCAGAGTTAGCACTTAGCCAAATTATTCTTCTTCCAAACTCTGAACTCCGGGATTTCAGATTTCTGAAGGCAACTCTTAAGACTTAGGGGCTGTTTACCTAAATGCTTACCCGGTAAGTGCTTAACTTTAGGAGTCAACACTATAATTTATTTTATTGGGTAATATTGTAGTACATCAAAATGTAATCCTATACAACAACTTACCTAGTAAGTGCTTACATGGATAAGAGTCGTCACTCTCACTTACCGGGTAAGACTCTCCATCCTTATCATCACTCTTACCGAATAAAGATTTTTGGCCCTTGTCATGTTCATCCGGTGAAGAAAATTACCCGGTAAGTACTTACCGGGTAAGCGTAATTAGTAAACGGCCCCTTAATTAGAGTTTGAATCGATTTTATCTTTATGTCTACAATCAATCTTGAAACTAGGGGTGAGCATAGGCGGGTACCCGCCCTTTTTGACAGGAACCGGAACCGGAACCGGTTAGAGCGGTTCTTGAATTTTTGGAACCGAAAACAGAACCGGAACCGCAGGGTTCCGGTTCCGGTTCCTGGTACCCGCTTCCTAAAATATTAAAATTTTGTTATTTAGAAATAAAAATAAAATATTGCCAAAACACTAAATTAAATAAACAAGAATACAAATTATACGGAATAATGGTTACAAATATTGTTTTAACGATTACAAACCATAATAGACTAATAGAAAATGTTCAAAGTTTAACGATTATATACTATAATTGTAAATGTTCAAAGTTTAACGATTATATACTATAATTGTAAATGTTCAAAACTTAACGATTACATACTACGAACTGTAGTTTAGTAGAGCTAGAAAGTAGATGAAGAATGAAGATGACCGCGTCATTTGAAGATGTAACTTAATATAAATTTGGTATTGAAAAAAATCAATTATTTTTTTATTGAAAAACGACCGCCGGTTCCGGGTACCCGGCGGGTAACGGTTTCGAAAAACTGAGAACCGGAACCGGAACCRTTCTCAATCGGTTCCGTATTTTAGGAACCGGAACCAGAACCACTCATATCGGTTCCGGTTCTGGAACCGGCGGTTCCGGTTCCGCAAACGGGTACCCGATTCCGCTGCTCACCCCTACTTTAAACCTTGTCATCGGAAACAAGGAGTACAACGTCTTTATAAAGAAACTGCCTCTGGCTGAATGAATTAAGTCATCACAGTTATATATGAGAGGAAGACCAAAGAATGCATAAGCTACCAGTAGACATTCAATCGCTTGTTCATAACCTCATTCTTTTAGCAGGTTTTATGCATAATGAATCAGTCAATGGAGTGGGTATTAGTATTACACAACCTGTGATTATCATTAGGGATCAGGAACCCATTACCAGCAGCAACATCACGTCAACACATCTGCACCAAGTTGTGATCCCAGTTCCACTAATCACTCTCGATCGTCATTTGATGATCCACATGCATCCAGTGATGTAATACCGGTGTAAATGGATTCTCACGAAATATCAGCTAACCGTAAGAAAGCTGAAATTGATGTTAACCAAAAGGAAATCGAAAAGTGAAATTCACTACCCGTTTAAGCTCGATATCCATAATTCTATGTGAAATGGAGAATCCATGGTCATACCAAGACAACAAGTAAGCCACAGAAACTTGTTTAAATGGAACCGGAGGGAGGACGATGAAAGGAGAAGATGACTGAGAACACTATTATTGATGGTTTATGAAACCCTACATCAAAGATTTTAGGAGAAGTGATCTTCGATTTGAATTTGATTTTGGAGATTTCAGAGATTTGAATTTTGAATTTGGGTTTAGTTGTGGGAAAAGAAACCATCGTAGTGTTTTGAGAAGACGAAAGATCTTGAAAACCTAAACCCAAAAAAAAACAAATTTAGGGTTGTTTGTAATTCCATTAAGAGGTAATTTTTGAATCGTTAAGAGATGAATCTTGTTTGGTAAAAAAAAAGTTTGTCTTTTAATGGTTTTAAAATCATCTGAATAATTTTGTATCATGGGCCTCCCTTAACTATTAAGAGCCCTAATTTCATCGTAAACAATTACCAAACAATTATATTTCATTTTGCACTATATCATGAAAGCCTCTTAATCATTCTGACCACTTAATGATTCTACACAAAACCATTCGGCAACTGTCAAACAGCCCCTATAAAAGGTAATGGCGGATAATTTGAGGAGTCATTTTTAGTCGAATTGAATTGATCTAAATGTCACTACTTCCACAATTTTCAGGTTCGTAATATCGCATGCCTAGTTTAAGGCAAAAAAAAAATTCAAATTGAACGCAGATATGCAATTGTGACGGTAAATTGGTTGAATTTAACCTTTGTGTTGTCTTTTAGCTAGGTCTGCAATGGTTACTGCGGATATATTGACATTTGGGTTAAACCGAAAGAAAGATGGTTAGAAAACCAATTTGGATGAGAAAAATGGTGATTTAAGTTAATTTCTCTAATTAAGTTGAGCGAGGAAAGAACTTGTGTTCTTTGGGAGAAAGCTCAAACGGGAAGGAAATAATTTGACCCGAGAAGAAAGTGAAAAAGTAAAGTTGAACCTTTCAACTTTGGTGGCTTCGTTGGTGGTGCATTTAGGAGTTGTACCTCATGCATACTAAGTTGTGACTAAGAGATCTTTGAAATATTTGCATTAAAAAGCAGTATCTTATACTGTATAAGTTGTAACTAAGAGTTCTGATCTAAATACATATTGATTTAATACAGATACAAATACAGATAATATATACGACTTCATTTCTTTATATTTATCTAAATAATTTCCATATCTTTTTTATTCTCTTCAACAAACCCACACATAATGTATCCATTCTTAAGACATTTGTATAAGAATTCTACGAAGGCATGTGTGAAAGGGAGAGTTAAAATTACGTTATTGTCCCAAATCATCCCTACAAAGATCTTCAATATTAACTAATTAACAACTATATATATTAAAATCATATAGAATGGGACTTCCACTAAGATATTAGTGGAAACTACATTTTTGGTCCTTCTGGATTGTTTAAAATTATGAATATCATCCTAATGGTTCGTAATAACATTAGTTGTTCGTGCGAGGTGTGAATCGTTATGGGTTTTGTTCTTGATATAAACGTGACCCGTGAAGGACCATAAAATGCTCTTACGTGCTAGTCATGTATTCATGTCAGGAGTATAGTACAAATGTACAGTATAAATGTTTAAAACATTAAGCACCCGGTTCCCTAAACACCTTGAGAATCAAGCACTGTCGATGGCCTATATCTTCTCCCACGACAACTCCACCTTCCTTCACTGTGTAATCTTTCTCATGAAGCAAATCAATCAAAGTTCCTTCTTATAGAAATGCAGGGATTCTTCCCACTTCTTGTCAAACGCACATGAAAAAAAATACAAAAACAAATCAATGAAAGTTTCATAGTGAAATCAAACAACATGGGCTATGGCAGGAATTAGTTAATTCTTCCAGATTCTTATCGAATTGCAACAACACAAACGCACTAAGGGAAACATAACGTCGTTTCCAGTTCTAGGGTTTCAATCACGATTAAACTAGGATATGTTTTATTTCAAGAAATCAAATTTCTCACTTAATACTTTTAGGATTTGTCTTATTTTGCGAAGCTGAAATCCCCATTGGTGGTGGTTGGTGGCAGTAAGAGAGTGCAAGGAAATAGAAGGGGTTTCGACGACAGAGAGAAGGGAAGAGAGCAGTGTTGGTCATGATGAAACAACGACTAGATGAAGGTGTAGGGAAGCAAAGAGGTCACAGTAGTAATGTGTAGAAAGAAGAAGAGACAGTAGGGTGTATTTATGGATCGTACAAATACTGAGAAAAAAGACAAAAAAGAAGATGTAAAAAGACCAAAATACCCTTGCATGCTGTTCATTTGAGGAACTCAACTAGCCTCCTTTAATTGATAGTCATTACGGTGAGGTACTAAATCCATAAGGTTTGTAAACCGTAAGGACTACGAATGTAACAAGGAAAGTATATGTAGGATATGTAATTTAGAACAAACCACAAAGACAAAAATGTAAATATTATTTACCATTAATTATTTTTCTAAGTTGTTAAGTTGATATTAAAATATGTTTATTAAAATAAAAAATAATTAAGAGGAAGGCAATCTTCAAATTGTTGATACGCTTCTTGTATTTTGTCCCATGGAGTCGTATGCTTGGAAACTTCTTACATGTGAGATGCCACCATCATTTCTAAATTTTTTATTCCTTTTATTTCCTTATTTTATATATATACATACATACATAGGGTTGAATTTACGTGAGAACCGTAAGATTAATTTATATATATATATATATATATATATATATATACATACATAGGGTTGAATTTACGTGAGAACCGTAAGATTAATTTATATATATATATATATATATATATATATATATATATATA